TTTGTATTTGGATTGAAAGTTAATGTTTATGCATATTGAATTCTTGATGTTTTATGATGATGGATGTTGTTTTTGGGATTTGAATCCATCAAAATGTTAATCGGATATTAATCATCTTTTAACTCTATAATTGATTTGAAGTAATTTGAATAATTTACCAACTACGATTTATTTACATGGTTATTACGTCCATTTTTGTATAATTTTTTAACGAGATCGAATACCATAAGAAAACTTTTTTATTTAGTTTATAATGTACATTATCTACTATAGATACGTACTATAGTTACGTGTAATTTATGCAGTAGATTTATGATAATGAATGTGTAGTTTTCTCGTTGTTTTATGATGGTGGATGTTGAGAACAACGTTGTTTTTGGGATTTGAATCGATAATAATGTTAATTATATATTAATCATCTTTTAGCTCTATAATTAATTTAAAGTAATTTAGATAATTTATCAACTTTGATTTAACTGCATGGTTACTACGTTAATTCTCGTATAATTCTTTAACGAGTTCGAATGCCGTAATATATTTATTTTATAACGTATATCATCTACTATAGATACATATTATAGTTGCGTGTTGAATATATTAATCATCTTTTGACTCTATAATTTATTTGAAGTAATTTGGATAATTTATTAACGATAATTTAACTGCATGCTTATTACATCAATTCTTGTATAATTCTTTAACGAGTTCGAATGTCATAAGAAAAATTTTTTATTTAATTTATAATATACATTATCTACTATAGATACGTACTATAGTTACGTGTAATTTAAATTAATAATAATGTTAATTAAATATTAATTATCTTTTAACTCTATAATTAATTTGAATAATTTACCAACTCTGATTTAAGTACATGATTATTACGTCAATTCTTGTATAATTTTTTAACGAGTTCGTATGCGATAAGAAAATTTTTTTATTTAGTTTATAATGTATATTATGTATTATAGATACTTACGTGTAATTATATATAATAGATTTTTCATATCGTTTTATTTTAAAAATAAAAAAATATATATAATTAATATAAGAATAAATTGTTTGAAATTTAGTTATAATAAATATATGGCTGCTAAGTTACTATTTTCTAAAAAATATATTTAATCTAAAATTCTTCGTATAATTTATTTGAAATTTAATTTAATAAAAAATAAAATATATGGAATGACGTGGAAAATTGAAGTACGTCGAGTCTTAGATTTTTTTATGTTTTTTATTTTTATTTTTTTTGGGTCGGCCATATCATATCATATTAAGAAAACAAAAATAAGTATCAAGAGCAGCAATTTACCTTCAGTGTATGACAATGGCGATACTGAACTACATATCGGCTGCTTCAACAACACCACCAATATCTCAAGATTCATCAACACCACCACAATCTGCTCCAAACCCGAGACCCACCAAGATAATTTTGCCCAAGAAGAAGCCATTGAAATGGTCGACAGGTGTGGCACCTGGCGACTACGGCGGCCCACCCGCCACCACGAAGCTGCGAAAGTATTGGGGAGGAGAAGAAGAAGACCCAATAACCTCTGATGAATTTATATGGAACAAAGATTTCATGGGTCGGATGAAGAGATTAATTCAGGATTCAGAAGTTTCTTCTCCGGAGTCAGTTCCAATTAAGGTTTAAATTCTCTCTTCTTAGTTTGTTTCAGAATTTCATTCATTCTTCGTCAAGCTTGGTCCTTTTGGTTACTTTTCTCCAATAACTTTAAAATGGGATTTTGTTGTTTGAATGAAATATATGTTTGGTTTATATATGGAGAAGAGGTTCTGAGCTAAATTTGTTTGTTTTTGTGGCTTGATTTTCGATCAAGTTTTTTTTTCTCCCCTGGTTATAGTTTTTTAGGCCTGTTAAGAATCAATGCAGTTCTTCTTCTAATTGCCTAAATTTCCATGGATCTGTTAAGAGAGCTTCTATGATACTGTTAAGTTTGCTCATCCAGGAGTAAAGAAAGAGAAAGGGATAATTAGTAAAGGATGACTTTTCTTAGTCTGTGGAATCTCTTTAATTTTATATTGAATATCATCCTAGATGAGACCAAATAATGGAGATATTAAACCTCCAAAAATTTCTTTTTCCCCATCTATCTGCATTCAAATAAATTGGACGAATTGGCTTTGGTGTGAACAGGAAGAGCCTTCTGGTTTTCTGAGCTTAAATAGAGTTATGAGCCTTGACAGGTTTGCTCTCACATACTAAGAATTCTAAGTTACTTGAATTATTTTAGAAATTTTCTGTCTACTAATTTTCGATCAATTATTCATGTGAATGGTGGATGCATTGATAGTCTGGAAGTTGACTTGAGCAAAGAACTTACAACTCTGTCAAAGCCTGTGTTAGAGCAGCATGATGATGTTGCACCTCGAGTAAGATTAATGGCGATACGTTTTCATTTGGATTTCCAACTTAAATGCTAGTTATGCATTTCAATCCTTTCTATTCCTCTATGAAAAAAACATAAATGATCAGCAGAGTAGTGGGAGCCTGTCTCGTAAATGGAAGTTGGTTCCAACACGTCGTGAACAAGAGAAGTGGGATAAAGCAAGTAAGGCTGCTACTGGTGGCAGTGTAAGTTGTTAGCCTATCCTACATGTTCATTGTCGTTTAGTATGCACTCACATCGTTACATAAGCATCCATTATGATGACATCTTTCCAATTTCAGTATGTAATTCTTTGATTTTGATAGTCTTTTGATAGAGGTCAAGCTCTAATCTTTTGTTTAAAAGAAACAAAGAAGAGTAGCATCGAGAACGTGATATATACTTGTCAAAACTTTAGATTTAGGATGTTTTGCAAGGAAAATGCTTCATGCTGCTTTATACATTCACAATGTTTTTGTTTCCTTCACCACAAACAAAAGAAAACTGAAAATGTAAGAGGAATTCTCTCCGAGCAATTCTGTCTCCTCTTTTTTTCTCTCTTCAGTTTTCACTCAGTTCATTGTCACTATTTTTTCTCTCTATACATTGTTGGTACATGGAAAATGATTTTGCTCCTCTTCAGAAATTGCAACTATACATGAGAAAAAGTGACACTGTTGTTGTAATCTATTAAATTATAGGACTGTTAAGAATTACACCATCGAAAATTAATACAGAGTAATATAGGAAATTTGGGCACTGCCTGTGTATCAAATGTTTCCTTGTTTGATTAGTTCCCATTTCATCTGTTGACGCCCTTTCTTGC